GGCTTTTTCTAGTTCACCCACTGAGAGTATTGCTCTTTGGGAGTTTCCGTAGGAGGATTTCCACATTTGATCTTTCACACATACTTTGCCATTGCCTCCAGGGCTTTCTTACCCACCCCCAGACAGATCTAACTGTACACTTTCTTTTTATTTATGTTTTTTGAAAAATTCTGTTGCTGTTCTGCCACCTCATATAGTTTTAAATATATTATTCAGAAGTTTTAGTAGGGCTACTTGAGGAAGGATTTCAGAATTATCTAAACCATCATATTCTGAACTTTCTCTTATGCTCAAGAAAACCTTTGTTTAATATTGATATTCTTGAGAATATGCATTCATCCAACAAATGTTTGTTGAGTGACTATATGTAGATACATGAGTGAACAAAAGATAAATATCTTTGCCTTGATGGAGCTTGCATCCCAATGGATAGAAAATATAATATACAATAAGTACAATAAACAAATCAATAACTTAGATGGCAACACAAACCTTGGAGATAGCTACAGATAAGGATGAAAAAGCTAGAAGGAGCAGATTAAACCATAGCATAGAGTAGTCACGGTGATCTCATTAGGATTGTGAGATTTGGGCAAAGATTTAAAGTTGGTAAGAAAGATGAGATAAATGTATGATTTCCTTGGTTATTGGGCTGGACATCAAATCTGGATAATCTCTTCTTCCTTGATCTGTGGATGGCTTTATAGCCCTAGCATTTGTCCTATGTTGCCTGCTGAGAAGGGGAAGATGGGGTAAATGTGGGAGCAATAGATAGTAAGAGGGGATCTCTAACACCAAATATTGCCCTTCTTCATCTTCCCTATTTTGCAGTGGGTAACCATATTCTGATAATTTCCATGACTAATTCTATAAATATATTATTTTAGGAAGTTCTTTGATTGGAAGTCTCTGAGGCATATTCAAAATTTAATTTTTTAATTCATATTTCTCTAGATTTCCTCAGATTTGTCTATAACTATTTTCCAAATCACACATTTGTAACATTAGAATAAATGTGGCCGGGCGCGGTGGCTCAAGCCTGTAATCCCAGCACTTTGGGAGGCTGAGACGGGCGGATCACGAGGTCAGGAGATCAAGACCATCCTGGCTAACACGGTGAAACCCCATCTCTACTAAAAAATACAAAACAAACAAACAAACAAACAAACAAAAAACTAGCCGGTCGAGGTGGCGGGCGCCTGTAGTCCCAGCTACTCGGGAGGCTGAGGCAGGAGAATGGCGTGAACCCGGGAGGCCGAGCTTGCAGTGAGCTGAGATCCGGCCACTGCACTCCAGCCTGAGCGACAGAGCGAGACTCTGTCTCAAAAAAATAAAATAAAAATAAAATAAAATAGAATAAATGTACATTATTTTTTCTTATGCCAAGTGACAGGTACTTAATATACAGAGGATATTTTATGTATAGTATTCATTCTTTAGGAGAACAACCTCTTTAAATGTGCCATAGAATTCAGAAGGCATTGTATAATTGGAAATTAATCAAACTTGATTCTTCTCAGATGCCCTTATATTTAAGAATTTGCTTTACAGGGCTATAAATGCTATCTATATTTATCTGCGAATAAATATACATTTTTACTAATAAAGAGATAGTGTTTAATATTGGGTAAAGTATTGATGTTTACACGGTATTTGCACTGGTATGGACCATTACAGAGATAGTAAATGTAAAGCCCTTTCTAACCAAGTTCTTTCTTAACATTTATAAAGCAAAATATATATATTTGGAAGGAGAATATATTCAGAAAAAATTCTCAAAAGGGAAAATAAAGTTCAAACACAAAATTAATTGGTACTATTATTTTATACTTTTCTTCCTCTAGTGGTCTATCTTTACAAGGAGAGGCATCCATTCAGCTAATGGATGTCATGCTCAAAGCTGCCGCACGTTTGTCCATCCTGAGATATATTCCTGTTCCAAACCTGTTTTAGTATGTTAGGCTAGTAGACTGAGGTTTATCTTAAAATAAGAGAACGTCCTTTAATAACCTCTATAATCATTAGTTTCTATTTAAACTGAGACCTTCACTATCCCAGTGCTGATGCTAATAGCCAGTAGGGAATTATTCTTCTTTTCATAACTTCTTCTGACTGACTTTAGAATTAGAATAAAATGGTTTTATTAGACTTGGGACTATTTCTGGGCATATGATAAACAATAGAAAGAAAAGGAACAATGCCTGATTGTTTAATTTCTGTGAATCCTTCTGATGTTCTTCTTTTCATTTGCCTTAAGATAAAATCAAGTTTGTTCTTTTCATTATGATCTAATGCTTTCAGGTCTTTTGAGTCTGAGTCTTGATAAAGGTCTTTAAAATATTACTTTTAACTACAAATTCCACTACATTTTGTAAACATAAATGAATATGACCTTGAGATAATAATAAATAAAATTTGGCCTATGTAGTTCATGATTAAATCTTTTCGTTTAAAAATGTGTTATAATTCTGCAGATCATCGTATGTTATTTGTCATTTTCTATATAAGGGAGGAGGAAAGGGTATGCAAATAACATTTATCTTGACAGCATAAGTTCTTCAAAATGGAAAACATGATCAGAGGCTGAATGAGTAAAATTAGGGACAATAATGAGGGTGGCGAGTAATTGCATGATTCTGTTTCTAGTCCAAAATAGTAATATTAATATTTAAATGTTCCTATTTAAGTGTGAAGATATAATTTTTTTTGAGACGGAGTCTCATTGTGTCACTCAGGTGGGAGTGCAGTGGCACGAGCTCAGCTCACTGCAACCTCTGCCTCCTGGGTTCAAGCTATTCTGCCTCAGCCTTCCGATTAGCTGGGATTGCAGGTGCCCACCGTCAAGCCCAACTAGTTTTTGTACTTTTAGTAGAGACGGAGTTTCACCATGTTGGCCAGGTGTTCTCAAACTCCTGACCTCAGGTGATCCTCCTGCCTCGGCCTCCCAAAGTGCTGGGATTACAGGCGTGAGCCACCGTGCCTGACCAGAAGGTACAATTTTTATATGTATTTAAATTCAAGCTCTTTACCTAGGTCAGAAAGGTTTGCTTTATTGTCTTCATTGAGATGAACATTTGCTATGATTATCATAAAGACCAGAGACAATGATTCAAGTAGCCAATTCCCCCTCTAGGGAGTGAGACTGCGTCATAGATTTTGCAACAATGGTTTGGCTTTTCCAATTTTGGCTTGACTTCAACACAAAGAAAAATTCCTGGGGCCTTCTTCCTCTTTGTTGTTATATATACATCTCTGTGATCTACAAAGAGTTTGACTTTCAAGAATTAGAGTAGTACAGGTCTGATAGTTAAAAATAATGGATTTCTTTAGTACATGTTTAAGTGCATGATTTCCTTATCTATAACAATTGCTAGGAGCTTCTATGCCTTTCTTTATATCCTTGAGGATTGACTAAAAGAAGTTACATAGTTTCTACTATCATATGTTTTGATAGAGGAGTTCCTCTTACTTTTAAGAGAAAAATCTGTGAGAAAATGTTTCACATAATTCTACACATCTTATACTTTTACATTGTAAGATAATTTTAATATCATTTTCTGCTGTAAAAAAAGAAGAGTTATCATAAATTTTTATTTAAACAAAATAAATGATTGACAACAGTAGAATAACCTTTAAATTTTTTACTATAAACTTTGAAGTAGCTATGACATGAGGAGAAAAAGATAGGCTATCCTCATAATTATGCCAGCAAAATTATTGAATCCCACTTCATTTATCTTGAAGTACTTTTTCCATTGTATGTTGATGTTTATTTTTTGCTAGTGGTAAATTATATTTAACAATTGTTACTGTGTTCTTATTTTAGTCATAATTTTTAAAGAATTATGCTATGCTCTAGTTTCTTTATTATTTTGGTAACATCAGTAATTTTTGTTATGTTGATATATGCTCTTTTATGCTAGAAAACAAACAGGAATACCTTCAAGTGATCAAAGAACTTGTTTTTAATAGTTTATATACTTTATAAAATTATGAGAAAGTTATATATGTGTCTTTATATTTAGGTTACTACTGCTGTGTTTAAAGTTTTCAGAATTAAATATTGATATGTTTCAGAATTCATAAAATAGAAAATAATTTGAAATACTAATTTTAATTTAAATATTGCCAATTGATTTAAGTATTTACATCATGTTGATAATTTAAAATGTTATGTAGATCAAGGGATTTTTATCTTAATACATTGATAGCTACAAAGTTATAATAGAGTTCACCTTCAAATGTATCTTGGCCTTAGAGTGACTTTACAAGTTTGAAAGACTAATGATAGTAACATTGATTTATTATAATAACATGATATTGTGTTGTACTATGTACCAGGCAACATGCTAAATACTTTATGTGCCCCACATGGTTTATATGAGGCTTAAAGTAAGGACTCTTAATTAATTTTTCCATTTTAAAGATGAAAAATTTGAAGCTCAGAGGGATTATGTCATTTATCTAAGGTGGCATAGAAAGTAGTGGACTAGGTTCAAAGTGGGCCAATGTGTCCTCAAAGCCCTTGCTTTTAACTCCTACTGTAATCAGTAGAGTGTTGGTACAGCCCAAGATACAGGTTCTGGAGAGCCAATTTTCAAATATTTATCAATATTGTGAGTTTGTTATTAAACTGTCAGAAATTTGAAATGAGCCATGGTGGAAATATTTAAACCTTGGAACTCAGCAAATGCTACAGATCAAGGTTTCTTCCATATTCCCCTTTCCTTCCTGCCTCGTACAGTATGCTAGTATATCAGTGCCTTTACTGCCAAAGTCTTGTCAGTGTTTGCAATGTTACATGTATTATGTTAAAGATATAAATAATGGGCGTAATTTTTTAAATATTGTGTTAAGTACTGCCTATAAACTGGAATCTATTAAGAAACTTACCATTAATAGTTATTGAATTAAATTACATTAACTTTTGTTGATAAAATATCTAAAATAATTTATTAAAGACAAGAATGTATGAAATGAACTATCTCTCTTCTTTTCAGTGATAGTGGAAAGTGGAAATATAATTTCTTTTGTGGGTTATATTAATTCTGGATGTTGTAACATTTATAGAAGTATTATAGGATTTGTGAAACTACAATCAAATAAAGTGGTAAGTTTTCAACTTATGTATTCTTTTTAATCAATTAATCTACTCTAAAGAATAAAGAGTGTTGGACACCTTTTCATGTACTTACTAGACATTTATTTGTGTTAGTTTGTGAAATTTCTATTCAATTTTTTGAAATTGTTTACTTTTGGCTTATTTAGTCTTAAGATATAAGAATATAAGTTGTAAGATATATTGATTTGTAAGATATACAAATGACCAATGAACACGGTAAAATATGCTTTACATTCTTATTCATCAGAGAAATGCAAATTAAAACCACAGCCAAGTACTACAACAAACATATCAGATTAGCTAAGATGCACTTAATCATTTGACCTAATTCCACTCTAGATAGTTTCTCCAGAAAAGTGAAAACATATGTCTACACAAAGACTTACATGAATTCTAGGGCTGGGCATAGTAGCTCACACCTGTAATCCCAGCACTTTGGGAGGCCGAGGTGGGCAGATCAAGAGGTCAAGACATCGAGATCATCCTGATCAACATGGTAAAACCCCATCTTTACTAAAAAATACAAAAATTATCTGGGCATGGTGATGCATGCCTGTAGTCCCAGCTGCTCGGAAGGCTGAGGCAGGAGAATCACTTGAACCTGGAAAGTGGAGGTTGCAGTGAGCTGAGATTATGCCAGTACATTCCAGCCTGGCAACAGAGCAAGACTGTGTCTCCAAACAACAAAAACAACAACAACAACAACAACAACAACAACAAACTTGTATGAATTCTTACAAACTAAAAACTGGAAGTAATCCACATGGCCACTGACAGTTGAATGAATAGAGATGTTACAGTATATTTGTACTATAAAATGCCACATAGCAGTAAAAATAATCATGGATACTTGTAAGAATCTCAAACATATTACGTTGGGCCAAAATGCCAAACCTGAATGAGTACATTCTATATAATTTCATTTTTATGAAGTTCTAGAAGAGGCACAAATATGTAATGTGTGATAGAAAAGTTAGAACTAATCATTAGTTGGTCAGGGAGTCTTCAAAGGAATTCAATTAAATATGTAAACTAACTTGAATTCTGCTGCACTGGTCATATTCAGTGTAAAGATTTGCCATGTATATAGGTGCAAATATTCAGGTTATATTGGATTTGACTCCAGGATACTTAGTAAAGGCTTTTGCCGCTTCCAAGTTCTTGTCACTCTTCTACCTGAGGACTACATTCTCTTTTATATATCTTAGTGGTCATCAACTCCTAGCAAATCTCCCGGCAAAGGTAATTTGAGGTCTCAACATTTTCTCCAGAACCATTCATATTGAACATCCTGTAGGCCCTTCTCCACAAGGTCTCTTATTTGAATCAAAATTCTAGTTCCCTGAGTCAAACTCATTTTCTATGTTTCTTTTGTACTTAAACAGAAAAGACAGGGAATAATCCCTCCTTTTTCACTTAATACCATCAGTTCTGGCCCTGACATTTTCTGCTTATTTTACTTCTCCCCTGTGGGTTCAACAAGAGTGCCTTGTGACTAGGGCTGATGTAACAAATGGTAGTTAACAAAACATCTTAAATGAAACTATGAAACATCTTAAATGAAACTATCATAAAATGATATCCTAGATCCTTGAAAAGTGGAATTAGTTCATTATTTCCTAAACATCTTTGTGGATTCTAAATGACAATGCTTTCAATTACCTTAGATATGCCTATGTTATCTATGAGTTTACTATTTCTCTAATATAATTGAAACACCTATGTAAGTAAATTTTTATCTAATTTGAATACAGTTGCTAATGTATTTTAAATATCTCTAATATAACTGAAACACCTATGTAAGTAAATTTTTATCTAATTTGAATACAGTTGCTAATGTATTTTAAATATCATATCGTTAAATGGTTTAGAGTGAGTTTCTGATAAAAACAATACTGATTCATTGTATGGTTAAGCATCAATAATATATATTTTTTTTAACAGAAAAGATCTCAAAAACTTGTTTATATGGGTCAACTTAAGGAGAAGGAGTCCTTTGGTGAGATTAGCGTACTTCTTCAAGTTCCTTTCACATGCACAATCATTACTGAAAAAGAGGTGGAGATGGCAATCATTGAAGATAAGGACCTATTTGGTAAGTGCATAAATATCTTTTAACTGTTATACCATTTTATTGGATGAGTTTTTTAAAAGAGTAGAGATATTTCACAGACAAATTGGGATACTCAAGTCAGTGTGTGTTTGTATGTTATGTATAAAGACAACATACAATAGCTATACTATAATATATTCTGAATTAATTGTGTGGTGTTAGAATATATTAACAATATTTCAAAAGTCTTTGTTTTGAAATTACTAAACTCTCTGCCAATTCCCAGGTTATCATTAATAGCAACGCTCCCTTTTCTGGGACATCTTCTGGCTTTCGTCTCTAAGGTTATTGCTTTTATGTTTTTGGTTCAGGTCAAGTCTGTAACATCCTCAATGTTTAATTAAGATCAAGCATATATGAAAATCTAAGACTGTTAGTGTATAAGACTTTATCTAAAATTTTAGAGCTCTACTAATAACAGAATAATAATGAAGCCACCTGTGTTCGGTCCTTTAAATACTATAAATACTCAAATTGGAAATGCAATTGAATATGAAGGAGAAATGAATAGAAGCTAATAAGTTATAACATAATAGAATATTAAAGAAAATTGTAGGTATGTTCAATAAAACTGGTAATAAAGGATGAAGAAGAGAAATGTGTAGACATTACCATGGGTGAGAGATATGCTTCAACAAGCTAAATTGAAAGATGTTCATGATAAACCATATAAGATTTGACTGAATACTGCTATCCTGAATTTCAATTATGTTTTATGTCTCTGACATGATTTGGATGTTTGTCCTTTCCAAATTTCATGTTGAAACGTCATCCTCAATGTTGGAGCTGCAGCCTAATGGGAGATTTTTGTATCACGGGGATGGATCCCTTATGAATGGCTTAATGTCCTCCCTGGGTAATGAGTGAGTTCTCACTCTATTAGTTCATGAAAGAGCTGCCTCCTTTAAAAGAGTCTGGCATCTTTTTCTTGCTCATTCTCTCACCATATGACACACCTGCTCCTCTTCCATCTTCCACTATGAATAAAACCTTCCTGAGTCCTCACCAGAAGCCAAGCAGATGTTGTTGCCATGCTTGTAGACCCTGTCAAATTTTGAGCCAAATAAACGTATTTTCTTTATAAATTACCAGACTCAGGTATTCATTAACAATGACACAAAACTGACTAATGCAGAAATGGGACATTGCTATAAAGATACATGAAAATGGGAAGCAGCTTTGGAACTGGGTAGCAAGCAGAGATTAGAAGAGTTTGAAAGTCTCAGAAGAAGACAGCAGATGAACGAAAGTTTAAAACTTCTTAGGACTTGTTAATGGTTGTGAACAAAATACTGATAGAAATATGGATGGTGAAGGCCAGGCTTATGAGACCTTAGATGGAAATGAGGAATCTATTGGAAAATGGAATAAAGTGTATCTTTGTTATGCCCTAGCAAAAATCTTGGCTGCATTGCGTCCATGCCCTAAAGATTTGTGGCAGGTTAAACTTAAGAGTGGTGACCTAGGGTATCTGGAGGAAGAAATATCTAAGCAGCAAAACATTCAAGAAGTAGTGTGGCTGCATCCAACAACCTGCAATCATATACGAGCATAAAAGATGACTTAATGTTGGAACTTATAATTAAAAAGGAAACAGAGCATAAAAATTGAAAAATTCACACCCTAGCTATGTGGAAGAGAAGGAAAGTGCATTTTCTAGAGAGGAATTTAAATGCACTATGGAGCAGCAACTTGCTAGAGAGATTAGCTGGACTAAAAGGGACACAAGTGCCAATAGTCAAGATAATGGGAGAAAGTCCTCAAAGGCATTTCAGAAATCTTGAAGACAGCTCCTCCCATCACAGGCCCAGATGCCTAGTAGGAAAGAATGGTTTGGGGAGCCAGGCCGAGGATACTGCTGCCCTATGCCACCTCAGGATACTGCTCTCAGAATTCAAGCAGATCCAGCCTGGGCTCTTTGTCCTAGATACAGCATGGGCTACTGCTCCAGAGAGTGTAAGCTGTAAGCCTTTTGTGGCTTCCACATGGACTTGGGTCTGCAGGTATACAAATTGCAAGAGTGAAGGATGCTTGCTATATTCTACCTAGATTACAGAGAATGTATCAGAAAGCCTACGTACCCAGAGAGAACGTCCCTGCAGGGGCAGAGGCCTCACAGAGAGCCTCTACAAGAGAAGTGCCAAAAGGAAATTTGGGATTGGAGCTACCACACAAAGTCCCCAATCAGGGCACTGCCTAGTAAGCTGTAAGCAGTGGGCTGCCACCCTCCAGACCTGAGAATGGTAGAGCCATGGGCAGCTTGCACTGTGAGCCTGGAAAAACTACAGGCATTTAACTCCAACCCATGAAAGAAGCCACGTGGGCTGCATCCAGCAAAGCTGCAGGGGTGGAGCTGCCCAAGGCCTTGGAAACTCACCCCTTGCACCAGTGTACCCAGAATTAGAGTCAACGGAGATGATTTTGGAGGTTTAAAATTTTAATACCTGCTTTTCTGGGTTTCAGACATGCATGGGGAATGTTCCCTCTATCTTTTGTCTTATTTCTGTCTTGGAATAGGAATGTTTACCTGATTCCTTTAGCACCATTGTATCTTGGAAATTAATAACTTGTTTTCAGCCTTACAGGCTCATAGGTGGAAAGAATGTGTCTTGAGTCTCACATGGAACTTTGGACTTTGGACTTTTGAGCTGATGCTAGAAGGAGTTAAGACCAGGGGACTGTTGGGAAAGGGTGATTTTATATTGCAAAGTGAGAAGAACATGAGATATGGGAGGCCAGGAACAGAGTGATATAGTTTAGATGTCTGTCCCCTCCAAATCTCAGATTGAAAGGTGATACTCAATGTTAGAGATGGGGACTGGTGAGGGGTGTTTTTGTTATTGGAGCAGATCCCTAATAAAGGGCTTGGCATCATCTTCGTGGTAAAGAGTGAATTGTTGTTCTGTGAGTTCACATGAGAGCTGGTTGTTTAAAGAGGACTAGCAGATCCTTTTCTCTCTCTTGCTCCCTCTCTTGCCCTGTGACATGCCTGCTCCTTCTCTACCTTCCGCCGTGAACAAGATTCCTGAGGCCTCATCAGTAGCCAAGAAGATGCTGGTACCATGCTTGTATAACTTGCAGAACTATCAGCCAAATAAACCTCTTTCCTCATTCCATTATAGCAATGCAAAGGAATACCCAGTCTTGAGTATTCCTTTATAGCAATGCAAAACTTACTAATACAGTCTCTTACAGAATGTGTTACCAGTACTTGCACAACACTAACTCAAAATGAAAAAAAAAAATTCAAATTTATATATCTAATTTTAAAAGTTGTAAATCTGAAATGGCATTTGTTAATTTTATTTTCTTCTGTGGCATTCAAATACAACCTCCCTCAAGATAAACATTGCTTAAAAATAATTACTAACCATCAATTAAAATTAGAATATTCTCACTTAATATAAGCTGTTTGTCTTTTCCTATATTAATGATGTTAACTGGTGCAAGGCAAATACACTGTGGACTCTTATGTAAATCAACATTTCACACATTGTATTTTTCAAATTTCTTCAGAAAAACAGAGCCAATAGGATATATATAAATATACAAGAGGAAATCTATTATGGGGATTGGGTAATATGATTGTAGAGGACACAAAGTCCTATGATATGCTTTCAGCAAGCTGGAGAATCAGGAAAGCCAGTGGTATAATTTGGGTTGTGTCTGAAAGTCTGAGAACCAAGGGAACTGAGGGTGTAACTCCCAGTGTGAGGCTTGAAAACTGGAGAGGGCAGACAGGAGGCAGTTGTATTAAGTCCTGGACTCTGAAGGCCAGAGAACCAGGAATGCTAGTATTCAAGAACTGGAGAAGATGGCCATCTTAGCTCAAGAAGAGATAGACAGAATTCCTCTGCCTTTTTAAACTGTTCAGGCCCGCAATGGATTAGGTGTTATCTGTCTGCATTGGTGTTGGTGGATTTTCCTTACTTCATCTCTACTGATTCAAATGCTAATCTCTCTAAAAAACACCCTCAAAGACACATCTGGAAATGTTTTACCAGCTATCTGGGCATCCCTTATCCCAGTCAAGGTGGCACATAAAATTAATTGTCACATACAAAAGTGTTTCAGTCACTTAATAGAATCTCCTTTGTCATCTGGCAGCCTAAGATTCAAACACTTGGTATTGTATGGAATTTAGTAATGTTTGTGTGTGTACTATTTATATTTTAAATTCATTCCATAGTCTGTTCATTTGAGAGTGATGTTCTAAAGCTGCTGACATGGTGTGTGCCTAATTAAACATTCTCTAAATAGAAATGTGCTTGAGGACTAGATTTTGCTTTCTTTTCAAAATTTAGAAGGAAATAAAATACTGTGTTTATTTCAAAAAGCATTTTATTTCTACATTCTAATATTTCATATTCTATTTCAAGATAGTTAAAGGTATGCTTTAAGGGCTAGATAATTCTAATGAAAAATTAATGGTTAATTTTGCTGAAATAATTTTCACACATGAAGAACAATGATATTAATATGCATTTAATCTGCTATATCGTGTCTGCATCTGCTTTGTTTATTTTTTGACATATAGATCCACCTCTATGAAATAGCATAGGATAGGACTCAAGAAAAAGTAAAATGAGTCTTAAAAATATCAAGTTGAAGACAAATGAAAATGCTGTGCTAGAAAACTCAGTGTGAGCAAACTCCATGTTACGTCATCTTGCTATCAAGTGTCATTATTAGCTGTTATATTACATAGGTGTTAGGAATAATCTGAATTTGAGAAGGTCCACTAAAAATAAACAAAAATAAATAAAATCATTATGTTCCAATAGAATCCTGCATTATAAGTTGGTTATGTTGCCTTCACTTTCTAATTTTTCAAGAATTATTAATTATAGCAATGTGTTTAGAACTATAAAGATATTACTGTCCGTTGGGTTTCCATACTGAAAAAATAAATTAATGCTTATCTTTCTCTAGGTATATGGGTCATACTCTCTATTTGATCTCATATAAATCATGTAAAGATC